TTCTGGAAAACAGCGGCGACATCTCGGTGAGACTGGTGGCAGAGCGAGGAGAGCCGCGGGGAACCCTGAACCCCTGTCGGGGACTCACCTGCACACCCACCTGCGCCAGCAGTAGCACCCAGAGAGCAGCGGCGCAGCCGGGGCTCCGCAGTGCACCACTGCCCCGTGCGTCCCGCGCGCGGTGCCGGAGCAGCGCCCCCGCGGGGAAAACGCACGGCTTCATTCTGGGGCGCTTGGGACCGTTTCGGGACCCGCGGGATGTTCTGCAGCCGGGCAGCCTGCAAGTGGGTACCCGGGACCTGATCAGATTGGAGAGCAGGAGGCTTCCCCTCCGTGACTCTGCCGCCTGCGCGGGGGTTATTACTGTGGCTCAGCACCGCGCGGGGGGCGGAGTGGCGCCCTCGGCGGCGGCGGGGGCGGTGGCGGAGCACCAGCCCGCACCGTGGGAGAACAGGGGGAGGGGTTGGAAAGCAGGCAGGAGAGGGGGGGAAGAAGGTAGGAGAAGGGAAGCAGATGAGGGGGAAAGGGGAGTTGGAGAGGAGGGACGCGGAGGAGTAGGGCAGGAGGGGAGAAAAGAGGAGGAAAGAAGCAGACGAATGGCCAGTGGGGTGGAGAACGGGGGCAGAAGGACAGGGGCAGGACCAAGGCTCTTGCCTGTCCGTAGTCACGAAGGGAGCCCGGTGAGCACAGCGGTGGAGAGGGGGCCGGGGGCGCGGGGCGGTGAGCAGGTTGGATGGCCCGCCAGTCACTCCACAGGCGTACTGTCTGGCTACCAGTGTGGCCTTGCCTAGCTTAGCTGTGCCGGGCTCCTCCAAGTCCCGTCCTAGAAGGTGGTACCCGCGCATACAAAGTCAGGGACACCTGCCGAAGGATAGCGTGCGGCTGGACTCGCCAGGGTCTCGCTGGCCCCACCCTCCTGTCCAGTGGGGAAAATGGGGTGCAGACTGGGACACTCGGACCTCCCGAGGAATACGCAGATCAGAGTCTGTGTGCGTTGCTCTGGGACTTGTGAGGTGATGGGTGAACTGGAGGTGAAGGAAGCTCCTTCTCTGTGCCATCTGCCCTGGGATGTAGGGCCCTCCTGGCCTGGGAGTAACCGCTGCTCTCCACTGGTCTTGTTTCGCCAGTGCCTGTGCTGGGGTTTCTAGGGGCCTCCGTGCAGCCTTTGGGTGGGAAGAGATGGGCTGCTGTGCCAGCCTCACCAGGGGGCCCCCCCGGAGCAGCAGGAGTGTGACCCACAGGCCTGGCAACAGTCGCAGCCTGGTTCTGCATCTCTCCCCAGTTTGTGTGTGTACACATAGGTGTGTGTGGTTTTACTGTGAATGGTTGTGTACATGCACTTGTGTGTGCACATATGCACATCAATGCCTGCTTGTGTGTGTACATGTATGATGTGTATATACTCATACATGAGTGCACTCACCTGTTAGTACCTGTGACTTGCTCTGCCACACTGGTTGCTCTTCACCTTCCTGAAGTTACCTCCTGCAGGTCTATGGTCTGTGTTCCTCATATTCAGTTTAGCCAAGATTTTCGTGTTCGGCATATTTTGTAGAGGAGGCTGAAAAGGAAGTGGTGGACGTGGTCTCCGGACTCTTTGGCGGAACTAGCCCTGAGCCTGGAGGTGCCTCTTGCCTTTGGCAGCCCTGCAGTGCCCACCATCTTCGGCGCTGACAGCAGTACCTCCTTCCTACGCAGGGGCTAGTTCTTGTTCCACAGCTTTCTTTCTACCTCAATCTCTCGTATTCATTTATTTAAAACGCTATTGAAAGTGTGAGTGTATTTTACATAAAGGCCTGTATTAGGGATGGCTTTAAAAAAACCTGCCATCCTCCCCCTATGAAGTACCTGTCAGGTGCGTGTCTAGGTGTGCAGGTCCGGGAGCGTACATGGGAGGAAACTGGAGCCTGTCTTCGGGCTGATCATCAGGGACGCACAAAGATTGTGCAGGAGGCAGTTGCCCTTTGTCCTGAATACAGGGCACCGCATGCTTGGTAAGTAGGGGTCTCTGATCATCTCTAATTAGGTCAAATGTAGCCTGCAAGGGAGTCAGTTCTCCTAGTCTAGCTACAATCACATGAAGACACCCAGCTCTCTTTTTATAAGTTCAAACAGATGCAATGAAAGAATGACTAGTAGAAAAAGATTCACTTTTAAGATTTTTTTTTTAGTTATACCAAATGAGTCTCTTTCCATTGTGAGGAAAGAAACAATATTCTTTACAATGATGAACATTTTTCCAGGTCCTTTCACTGTTCACTGAGTTCAGTGTTCATCGTTGACCCCAGATGTCTCTAGATCCCACAGAGCAAAGGCAAACTTTAGAGAAGGGGCCAGGTCTAGAGCTGAGATGATGGGAACTGGTACCCTGGGTGTAAGAACACCAGGAACACAGTGCAGTAATGTGATTTGTGACTTAAACTAAGATAAACATATGTGGTCTTCTGTTTGTGGCACAGGGCTCCTAAACCCCTTGGAATTTCTTAAGTGACTTAGAGCGTTAAATGTGTCTTTTGTTATGCTAATGACATGGCTTTGCACCTCAGGATGTGGACTTTGGTTGCCCAGAGAATCCTGTGGTGAATTCTTAGGTGAATTTCTAAATGCAGCCCTGAGGGGGGGCTGTTTCTCCTCCCTCCTTCCAGGTCTGGGATTGTCTCTATTCTTCACAATGGGTCCAGAGGCTCCATCAGGCTCTCTCCAGCTGATCTACCCTCTCCGGGCCTCAGTTTTCTTATCGGCACACTAAGAGTGACAACGGTGCCTTGCAGACCTATTAGGGTTAGGTGCAGTGCAGTGATCTAAACATGTAGCAGGGAGGGTTCAGCCTTTCCCTTCTCCTTGTTCTTCAGCCACCAGGAGGAGTGCAGGTCCATGTGGACTGAAGTATCTCCAAGGAAGAGGGCGAAAGAGTTTCACTGAAGTCAGACTATCAGTGAGGAGGGGTGGCAGGGGCAATAGAGCATGTTTGACAGTGTGTTCCCCTTTCCTGCATCACAGCAAAGTCAGCGTGAAATAACATGGGTGAACAACAACATTTTTCTTCCAAACACATATCTGTTGTGATCTGGTATTTATTCACTTTGCAGAGAAGTCTGGCGGTAGGTTTGGTTTTATTATTTTTCAGGTAGACTTTTGCCCTTCAGATCGGATCCGCATAGAACCATCACTTGTTCGTGTCTTTATTTATTTATTTTTAGGATGTATTTGGCTCTGCATTTTGTCATTAATTTTTCCTGAAACATCGTAAGTATATAGATTTTCTTCCAGATTTGGGAAGACAGAGACACTTACCTGCTTATTATTTGGGAGATAGGACATTCCATAAGTAGTTTTTAGTATTAAAATAGACAGTTTAGGTAACTGCTGCCATAAAAATGACAAAGATAATTACTGAAAAAGAAAGTATATATGCATATATATATATAACTAAATGAAGTCAATAAACACAGTATGCTTCATATTTTACAAAATATTTTCAAGGAACAGAAAGGGGAGAAAGCACAGAAAAGCAAAGTGAAATTCTACTGAAATTCTACATAGATGCTCTATTCGTAACTTTGACTATCAGAAAATTAAGCTAAGATCCTCTTGAAAAGTTGAAAGTAAATACCGGTGGTTAAAATAAGAAGAGTATATGAGAATAGAAAAGTAAAGGTATTTTGAATATTCAGAAAACAAATGGAATAACAACAGAAAAACCACAATCAAAAGGAATAAATGTGACAACAGATGTGAAAAATTATAACAATATATACAATGGATTACATTGCTTACTATACAATAAAGTCTTGGATTTTGTTATGGTAGTAAAATTCAATCAGATGCTCTTCAAAGTGTACACACACTACAAAGAAGAAGTGAAATATTAAATTGCTCAATTCATATTAAAGTAAATATTTGCCAGGGAAGTATAATAAAAGTGAGACTGCTGCAATGATCCAGACATGTTTCCTTCCTAACTGCCAGCAACTTTGTTTTCCCCTTTGTGTGAAGGACATGATAAAAATAGAACCTCCTCCAGAAGGTTGATACGAGGATGGAATAAGTTAATATAGGTTTTTCATCCTCATCCAGGGATATGTTTATTGATGGTAGAGAGAGAGGAAAGGAGAGAGAGAAAAAGAGAAAGGGATAGAGAAATATCAATTAGTTACCTGCCTTATGGGCCCTGACTGGGCACAACGTAGGTGTGTGGTCTGACTGAGCATTGAACTCACAAGCCTTTGCTGTACCGGGTGATGCTCCAAATCAACTGATTCACCTGGCCAGGTAGTGTAAGTTAATATTTATGAAGAACTTAGAACAATGTCTGAAATGTAGAAATTGCTATATAGTCTAATTAAATTTTAATTTAAATGAAATTCAATGCATTTATCAAAATAATACATACTACTTTAAAAAATAACACAAATGAAATAGTTAACAGTATCAGATCAGTACAGACCAAATTAAACATGAATATCAACATGTCCTTTGCTCTAAATTTTGCTTCCATATCCAGTTGAATTGCATGGGAAATGGTTCCAGTGATCCTTCCAGAATAAAGATTTCATCTCTTGGACAGAGTTCAGCATTTCTGCTGACCGGAGACCAAGAACTGCATGGCAAATCTGTCGTGACAAATCCGATTCATTTTCCCATATTGTATCTCATGTGTGAATACCTTGACTAACCGGACAAACTACCCATCACACTCACAAAAATCCGGGGAGAAGAGAACAAACCTCACTGTTTCCAAAAGCATCTGGAAAGCATCGGATGATTTTCAAAGATAAAGAATCTCATCTACAATGCTGCAAACACCACAGTGTGTGTGGTGCTTGCTTAATTCCCTGGGACAGATTCAAACGGAAAACCCCACCATGTACAACTAATTACAATGACTCCATTATTGAACAATTTTAGGTCAGCTGTCTTATTCTATCTTCATGAGATGGAAAAATCCAAGCTCCCAAATCACAAAATTCCACATCAGTAACCACATGACAGTATTTACAGATTAAGACCAGTGTATTTATCATCATATTATGAATGTTTCTTTTATGCAGAAAGTGACTGTGGTATGCAAAATCACTAAGATACAAAAGTCTCCATTGATTCCTGAAAACTGAGCAATTATTTCTTTGGGGAAATTTGAACTCTCATTTTTTACTTATTTATGATTCAAATAAAAGCTCCTTGCTTTCTAGTTTTCTCTACCTCAAAAGAAATGATGAATTTGGCTGGTCTTTAACCGAAATTCAGTTTGATAAGTGTGATAGCATGCTTTGACACCATTTGGAATTTGAAAATAAACTAAATAAATAATAACTAACAAAAATTAAATTAATGCAATGTAGATTATGCTTCCTCATACTCTATCTGCCTCAAACATTGAGTAGGCCCCTCTTAGCAAGGATGGACACTGATTGTGAAGGACTAACTTAGATATTGAAAAGTCTTTTTCTAGAAAATAGCGCCGTTGATCGGACAGACCTAGACGGTGTCATCCTTATTCTTTCTCTCCTTTCATGTGGGAAGGTCTGATCAAAACTGCCTTTCTCAGAACAGATCATTGCATCTTATCCATTTACCAGGGATTGTTCTGTTTCTCCCTCTTCGTCTACCTGGAATCATATTATGTATTCATCAGGTGCCTGTTTATTGCCTTTATTTCCCTGGAATGTCTTGCTCACAGCTGCATCTCTCCCACTCAGGGGACCCAGCACGTGGTCCAGGTCCACCTCCACGGTTGCCTAGATGAAGGAACAGGGCTACATTCAAGTTCCCTCTTACCTTTTATGATGCTCAGGGAAACCCGTGATTGCCACATGATTGAGCAGTTATAGGAGAGTAGATACCTTCTAGCCTGTCCCCAGTATGTCCAAACTCTGCCTTGGAGAGGGACAGAAGGTATGAGCCCTTAGTTTGCACTTTAGCGTGCACATTGTTGGAAGAATGACATTATGTCTTTTGCCCGGAGACAGGCTGGCATGGAATACATTGTCTTCCCAGGAGGAATGCTTGTTCACTGTGGACATTGGATCTATGCCCTCTTTCTCTCAACCGTACATCCCAGAAGTCACCATGGAGGAGACAAGAATCAAAACTTTGTATTTTAGAACGTGAAGTGGGTTTTAAACTTTCAGTTCAAAATCTGCTTATATATTTTACATTATCTAGGCTGCTGCTTTGTCATGCTTCAGAGCAGAGAATGATTAGAAGGGAGGAAGAGTTGATCAGATTCCAGGAAAGGGTCTAAACCAGGGAGGCTGGGTAGGTGCTAGACCTCAGTGGGCACCTGACAAGGAGACTGGTGTTCAGAGCTGGGTCACGGGAACCACAGGTCAGTGCTGAGGGGTGTGGCAGAGCCCAGGGGCATGAAATGGCTCCCGGGAAGGGGTGTTGGTTCAGGAACAGAAGCAGATGCTAAGAGCAAAGCCCTAGTCAGAACATCAGAGCAGAGGGAAGATTTAACCAATGAGAGCCTGGTTGCCTGGCAGATATGACAGCTAAGAAGGGATGGGCGTGTGCTCACCCCTTCTTAGCGAAGAAGTGACAGAAAAACTTGCTGTTACAATTAATCAGCAACTTATGAGTACCCTGTGTGGTCTTTGATACAAGTGCCAACATGTTTTGGGCTCACCGTTCTATGCTAACCTGAAAAAGAAAAGGCCTTTCAAAATGAGAAGCAACACACATTTATGTGAGATAAGAAGGAATAGCTAGCTATTCCTGACACACTCATTCATGTGGAAGCCCAAATACTGTAATACTGTTCCAAGACAGGAGGAGAAAAAGGCGAGAGGTGTTTATGAGAAAGGGAAGGGGCACAATTTCATCAATAGAGAGAAGGCATTTCTATAGTTGTAGATAGCAAAACATGGTAAAAGCTAATTGTCAATAATTGGCTTTTTCAGTCTAGTGGTCATTAGTCCAGTAGTCAAAATAGCTGTTTTCTTGTTATCTTTGCACAGTTCTTTGGGGGCATAAGGCTGCTGTAGGCCCAGTCCAAAGGTTATTTTGTTCTGTTTTAACATGTTAAAGATTTGAGCATAAGACATACCATACTGACACCTCCAATAAAGTAGGTTTGCAGGTTCCTAATAAAATCTCCCTCCCTACACCTGCCCACAAATGTGGCAGGAAATCAAGGAGAATGTAATGGTGTGGATGCAGTCAGTGAGAACACCTGCCCAGCTCTGTTAGCACAGTGTTTGTGAGGGTCTAGAGGTTGACCTGATGGCGCTTTCCCAGATGGTTCAGATGTACCTCTATCGTTAGGAGCTCAAGGAAAGTAGGAACTGGTAGGTTCTACACATTCTTGACTTGGTCCTAACAATGAAAGAAACATGTGTGAGAAGAGCATTGGCTTAGGAGAGAAGCAGTAAAAAAAGACATAGACAGTTTTCACTGGGGAGAACCTACTAGGCTGAGCTAAACTATGGCAACTCCTAGGCTGTTGCTGAGGGAAGTCAAAGGAACAAAGTACTAAGAGACCCTTTTAATGCCCTCCAGGACTTGCACACATGACCACTATCCAAAACACCAAGCTTTTGACTTTCATATGACCCCATGCTCAGTTCTGAGTCACTTACCTGAACTCAGTTGTTACCATGTCTCTCAGCCCGCTCCCATGATTCCTGACCATGATCCGGCATGTGGTCCTCAGATGCAGCATCCAACGTGGCCTCTGCCTCTGGGCCTTGGCCTGGCTCATCTCTCTTTGCACCCCATTCATGTCTTCTTTAACTCCCCCAAACGAATCTTGCCTGATGGCAATTTATGTAATGGCACACAGCACTCAGAAATTGTTCAGTCCACCCCCCTATCTACCTACCTACCTAACAAGGCTGATTTATTTCAGGGGCCAGAGTGACTTTCAGAGGACAGCCAGGCTCAGTCTTCTGCAGTCCACACTGTGGAATTAGTCTATACCACCCACTGCTCATCCACGTAAAGCTGCATGTAATCCACCTCTAGCCCACTGAACATTTTGCTGATCAAGCACAGTATCTTCTATTAGTTTCTCTTCCAGTGCTGTTTCTCTGGGCACAGCCCCTCCCTTTTGTGCCTGTCAAAATCTTCTCATGTTTTATAGATCAGGTTGATGCTACATCCTCCTTGAAGCCTTACTTGCTTACTTGGTCACTCCATTTATTTATCATTTTCCCTCTCTTTTAAAATGCAGATTTTATTATTATTATCTAGGTATAGTGAGGCCAACAGAGCATGAATTGACTGTCACTGTAACTATAGTTTGTTACCGATCCCAAGACACGGGGCACTCCCATTGATGGCACACTGGGAAGAGCCAGGGTCAGAGGGCAAAGGGAAAGCTGGAACAAGTGGGCAAGATCCTGTACTGTGGTTTTTGCAGGAAGGGACAGGCCAGGCAGTGCAGGAAGGCTTAGGATTGGCTAGTTTGAATAAGTGCAGAGGACTCTGGGTGTAGAGGTGATTCTTAGTTGTCTGGTACTTGGGGTGACTAAGGGAGGGAAATAGTGGCCTGAGTGTAAGTGCCAGGGGTGTTTGGGGCACAGGCTCTGGATTGGCTGGTTTCATATGAAAGGTGCACCTGCAGGTGAGCCCTGTGAGGTGCTCGCTTTCCAGGGTTAACAGGTGCAGATGTCAAAGCATCAACAATGCAGAAAATAAAAGACATTAATAAACCTTCTTTTCTCTTGGCAAATATATCCTTATTTTTTAACTTATTCAACTTATTTAGTAACCTCTATAATAAAGGGATTCTTTCTTATTAAACCTTTACTCTGCAGCACCTACTAGTGTTGAATGCTAATTGTAAAATTCAAAAAATGCTTGTCTTCCAAAATGCAGCACAAATATTGCTTGGAATGTGGCAAAGGGAGGAGAAAGTAGCAGAGATATGAGGGTGGTTACAAAGCATTGCAGGCACAGAGGGACTGATAAATAAATTTAAATAGAACATGCATACCTGGGCCGCAAGACTCAGCATTTGACCTCTGCATGGGTTAGTAAGAGTCAGACTATATTGAATCTCTAAAGAAAACCTTACAAAATGCAAAAGTGCTAGTAATTCATAAAAGAGCTGAAGAAGGAACTTTTATTCAGAACAGCTCCTGTACCTCACCTGATATTTATTTTCACGTCCTCATTTTTAGCATCTCCTAGAAAACCCAAGGTTAAGTATATTACAGTAAAAGCACATGAAACTTTTCTATTTCGAGTGTTGTACATAAGATGTGTGTTTATTGTGATCGTGTGTATGAATTCTTACCAAGTTTGTTTAGTTGTTTTCTGGTTGTTTGAGGAACGACTTGGGTTTGCTGGCAGTGCACACACCACTGAGATGACCCCAGGAGACAAATGCAGAGTCAGGGACCCAGAAAACCAAAGGGCTCTGGGAAGTTTGCCAAAGCTTCACTTCAAACCAATCTTTCAAATTAGATTTGCAGATGCTTCTTTTACTCAGTGGGGAATCTGGGGAATAATAGAATATTTGTACAATATATGTTAATCTAATGATCTATTTCCATTTAACAACTTCAAAGCATCATCAACACAAGACACTCATTAGTGCTTCCAAGTGAGGCATGAAGACGGCCGGGCAATGTGAAAACTGCTCTTTGACAACAAACTGACTCTGGAAACTGGTTGTATCTACTCTGATTTGGGGAATAACCCAGAGAGGTACCTTTAAACTTTCCTTTTTAGGCACAGAGCTTCCATGCAAGTGTTCAGAATACAGGGCTAATAAAGTCGGATGAATCATTTTCATATATACATTTACTGGGCTGGTCTTCTTGCTTCACTGATGAACACAATGAATTGTATGTAAATGTGTCTGGAAAGATAAACTCATGGCACATTCCCCTGTTAGTGACAGAGCCACCGAGGTACTGCCATGGTGTCATCGGTTCTAAGCTCCTCTCATGTCTTAGATGAACAAGCACTCCTCTTTGTCAATATCATTTCTTCCACCTGTGCTCTTGGTGACAATTCTATCCACGCACCACCACCCTCCAGCCCCTGGATTCTCCAATGACAAGCACTTGATGAGACTCACCTGTTTCCAGTACGTTACAGTCACACTGTGACTGTGTCACACTGTCACACAGTCACACATCAACCCTCATAGGAGGCTATTATTCCCACTTCTCACAAAGCAAATCCTTAAACCCCCAACCAGAGAGTATTAATTTACTATGCATGGGAGTGGCAAATACATCCCCTCAGCTCAGATTTTGAGTCTAATTTCGTATTATCATAATTTAGTGTGTGGACGAAAAAGGAGTTCTATGTTAACTCACCTACACAAGGTTATCTGATCATAATTTCCTAACTGGGCAGGTCATGGTGGGTAGTCAGGTGCCCAAGACACATTCTTAAGTAAAAGTTTGTCTTTGCCTTAAGCAAGCCCTGTCCATTGTTTCTGTGCATGCATTTGAGATGAACTTAATCGCTGTCAAGAGAGCCCATGATCTTGGTAATGCCGTGATCCAGTCCTTGCTTTGCCATCTCAAACCTCTGTGCGATCTTCCTCACATTCCCTCCTCACCTTCAGATGCACAGAGGAAGCTGCAGAGCTCTCATTCTCTGGAGCATCTGAAATCTCACTTCGGGGCAGTTATCAGTTTGGCCCAAATAAACTCTTATAAAGTCTCTTTTTATAGGTTTGGACATTTCTTACATCGACAAACAGCAGAAGTGTTTGAATCTTAGTGCTAATAGACAAGAAGAGATGGGAAATAAAGAGAGAAAATTCTATGGGCAGAGAGCCTGCAAAGGTACACATCCTGCTCTTTGGAGGACAGCTGTCTGTCCTGGGCCACTATGGCCCGTGGGCTGGTCCTAATGGGGATCAGGTGCCTCTTTCATTCAGCGCCCGGACCGCCCACTACAGGCGGCCTCAGTGTTTCAGGGGCATTGTCAGACCTCCAGTTCTGTCTTCTTTTTCACGTCCCCTGGGATAAAAACATAACTTTTTCCTACCCTCCCTGCTGAGGGAACAGAACACGTACTTCAAATCACCTGTGTTGAGTTCCATGTTCTCTATTCAAGGTTTTAGGAGGCAGGCTGATTCTGTAAACCACAAAACAGGACATCAACACAGAGGTGCCACCCACAGAGAGGAAACTTCGAGGACACTGTGCAGGGCAGCCTCAAGGCTGGGCTGGGTTAAGGAAAAATTGCTTCTGGGGGTGGTGATAGGGGCCGAGGCCAGAGCAGAACAATAAATCATTCAAAAGACAAATTACAAACTTACCTCCCAAAGGCATTTTATGAGAGCCTAACTACTGACTCTTAATTACTAGAGTTTCTTATACATTCATTAAAAAAAGAATTATATAGAAAATTTGACAAACGATATTAATGAAGACTTTATATACACAAGAGAAATATAACTGGTTAAATTAGTGGTAAATTTATGGTAAAACTCATTCACGATGGGAAAATGTGCATCTACTGGGCACCATTTAGAAATATAGGACCATTGCCTCTTGAAGGGAGAGAATGGGTTCATTGCCCCACCCCCTTAAAAACAGAGTCAGCACTAGGTGCACAAACTTGAGAGGGTTTCATAACGATACCTGGCAGCAGGTGACACTGCTGCCACACCCATGTCTTCTCCACTTCATCACCACAATGCACACCAACTGCCAGGCACCTGCTTCTCTTGGCCCCATGTCTCACTCTGCCCCTTGGGCTGCTAGCTCAGTGCCCATGGGACATGGAAATGCTGGGTGAACACCTGCCCCTAACCAATGACTGGCTCCTCCAGGTGGGTAAACAGCCCAGTTCCCAACCTTTTCTGGGGACACACTAAGAAGTCTGTGCTCTATTCTTATACCCAGAATTTTCCACTGAATTAAGAATTATTTGAAGAATAATTTATTTATGATTCTTAAGTATCATTACTAATTGTTATTATTATCATTCCTTTATTTTAAGAATTATTTGTTTTTAGGAGAGTACCTGAGCAGGTTTTCAAAGTAAGTTCAGTAGGAAAGAAGATTTGCCAGGATCTTTTAAACTTTAATTTACCCACAGGTAGATGGAAGTTATGTAGTGGAGCCATTTTCTGTGGAAGCAGAAATCGTGTGTGTATGTGTGTGTGTGTGTGTGTGTGTGTGTGTGTGTGTGTGTGTGTGTATTAAGAGACTAAATGAGCAGAGGACTCTCTCTGAGGTACAGAGAGAGAACTGGGCAACATCCCATGTGAGGAGCCTGTAAGAAGCTGGACTGGCCGATCTGTGGGGATCAGAGCTATGTGTGTGCCCTCCAGGAAAATGGGCTCTTGGTTCATGCTGGCACTTGGCTACTTGAAAATCAGGTTCAAGTTCTCTGCACCCTTTGAGAATTAAATTCCAGCATCATTTTTTGGCAAGTTTTTAATGTATAAAAGCATGTAAAGCACTAACAATATAAAGTAACAAATGTAAAATTTGGCTGAAAAGTAATACATCCATTAAGAATTCTTGATGTGCATAAATAGATTTTTATGGAGAATTTTTTGGAAAAGGAAACAAAATGAAAGAAAGGAAAGTGAGTTTACACATGTATCCACACATTAAGCTCAGGATTAAGGGAGAGTTGAAGGCCTATTTGCATTTCAAGGTTTTCTTGGAGATTATAGGCACCAAAGGGATCATTTGTAAGAAAGTCTTGTTGGAAGTAATAGAAACTATATACTTGCTGCCTAGAAAACTTCTTTCAACATACACTTCATGAAGCTTGCGTGTTCTGAGCATCCAGAGGACCACCCATATGTTCTTGCTCATGGAATCACAGTGAGGTTTTCCACATGGGGACGTGGGTGTAAGACTTTGGATGGCATGGGGGCCGAGTGTCATCAGATGCAGCACCGAGACAGTCTGCTGAGTGCGCTTTTCATGCCAGCGGCCAGTCGGTCTTACCCAGGCACGGTAAAAGGGTGCTCCCTGCCCCAATTATGTGATGCTTTCAACACCAGCTTAGTGCTGGTCACCCATCCATCTGTGATAGGCATAGAATTTACTGGATTCATCTAGAACATAGACCATTGTTATAACAGTGCGAATACTTCTCTCCTTTCTCTGGGGTGCTCATGGGTCCTTTGATTTGCCATGTCTGTTCTGTGAGGTGTCACTGGTCAGAGCAATCTATCTAGAATACCTCTACATTGTCAGCTGGCTATGGAGGTCTGAGGGCACCATGTTTTCGTCTTGGATAAGCCCGTGAACCCCTGAGGTGTCTTAAGTGACAAAATGAAGATCTTGGACCAATCATTTGTTGTATCGAATAACTTTTGTGGTCCACTGTTTTTCCCTTAACCTTTCAACATTTTATTATTGTTGTAGTCTGTATTCATACTGGGTATCCGGTTTGTTCATTTGAATTGCTATGCAATATCCTATCATGTGAGTATCACTTATTCACTGATACATCCGTCCTAAGACTAGAGAAGGGAACAAAGTCAGGAGTTTGAGGAATTACCATCCCAGCATCTGGACTCCCAAACCCCAGTGTCTGACTCACCATACATATAAGTCTGGCGGGAATCACTGAAGGGAATTTTCTTTAGAAAAATTATTTATTCTTTATTTAGTTGGTTTACAATTTTAATTGGAATTGACTCATCCAATCATTAAAACTTCAAGGACTTTTTAGTTTTACTCAGGCAAAAATTATTTTCACTATCAACAACATTTAGAAAAATATTTCCATTTCTTCTTTAGGCCCTTCTGGGTGACTGACATGCTGGTGAAGTGAGAAGGTAGTTATGAAGGTCAAGTTCATGAACTAAAGGGCTGTGTTTTGTAGGAGAGAAAAGTGAGGAAGAGATAAGACTTTGGTTTGAGTTTGGAAATTTGAATTGCTAGCTATAGAAACATACAGCCATCATATAGTTGTTTTGAGCAAATAACCTAATCTGTATCTGAGAACTATTTTTCCCTTGCTCATTTTATATTGTTGAGCTTGCAAATTCTGTGAGATAATATAGATCATACATAATATAATACCACAAACCATTAAGTAATTTAACATGATGCTATTTATAATTGAAATTTTCTCTAGACATGCTGTGAATTTTCATAACCATACAGATACATGTCAATATAGATCAGACCTTATCAGTGATGGAAAAAAAGATGGCAGGAAAATTAGGGCAGGGCAGGAGGAAGAGCCAAGGGGCAGGAAATGGCCCAGCTTATAGTGTTGGCCTCTTACTATTAGCCATCTTCAGTCCAGGGCTCAGTTGCTCCTTTAGAAAGCAGTTGATTATGATAATTTTTAGCCCCAAAAGATAAATCACAGCAGAGAGGGCCATGCTGGTTCTGGAGGCAGGTCCCAGACCAGAGTACCAGGGGCCACAAAGTAGGAAGTCAGCAGGTGTCAGTTAATACTACTTAAAATAAAAGACACATGTGAATACTAAAACTTCCTGCATAAAATTTCTTCTCTAGGGATAAAGCTGGCAAGAAGCTAACCATATAAAAATCATATTAAAATGCATAAATTGGCTTTGAAACAACACTAATGAAAAGTGCTTTGAAGCCACTAAATTTGGACTGAAGCCATGATAAATTGGCATGGACATACATACAGGAAATTTTGCAGAAAGTACATAGCATCTTCTCTAAAGTTAAATTTGAGCTTAACCAAGTTTCAAGGATATGGTGTGAGGCCCCTCCTGGCCTGAAGAGGCGCTGGACTTGACTGTGTCTACCACAGTGGTGAGGACTGGGACTCTGTGGTCACCTCGCCTACACTGCACGTTCAGCTCCCTCACAACCTGTGTGAACCAGGGCACGCCACTCCCCTTCTCTGAGCCTCTAATTCTTCATCTATAGAAGTAGGGTGGGATAATAATTCTACTTATTTCTAGGTTCTCAAGGAAAAAATATCATCTCTAAGATGCAAAATCCTGAACACACACCTGTCACAGAGCTGAAAGCTGAAAGGACAAATGGCAGAGAATGTTTTAGGATGGCCAGCAGATCCCTGCTGGCCATATGGATGGTCATTCTGTTCACTGAACAACATAGCAGTATTTGGAGTCTGCCACCTCCTGCGGATGACCTGAGATGTGAAGGCTTGGGATTTTGATTCTCGTGTTCCTTGTGAGTTGTTCAAGAAGCCTGTCCCAAAGTGGAATTCCTAATAGATGGCTAGGCATACAGACTTGGAATGGCAACTCTGATTTGGACAAAAGTTTCAGCTGCTTTTCAAAATGCCCTTGAACAAAGTCCCAGGCTTAGAAGGGCAGACTTCAGTGTGCTGAGTTATGGTGTTCTTAGGGACAGTTTAGGTGTCAAAAAAATAGGAAGGAAATATTGAGTCCTGGCTTCATGTGGCCCAGAAACATGAATTTGTACCACACAGTGAATGCCAACACTTGGACCACTTGAATAATCTCAGATCACAGCAAGAGTGGATATGACTGAACCAGCAAGTTATATCCTAATGAATGACTCTTTCCCCTTCTTCCTGAGTAATCTTACCCCCATTATTTTTATCTCATTTGGGCATATGGTTACCTTGAATAAAGATGACATGTCCTAGTTTTCACGGTCACTTGGCAAGGTCAGGAGAGTGGTTCTTGCTATAGAATGTCAGCGGAAGTGTCCTGTCTGACTCTGTGGTGAGATCTTGAAGGACAGATATGTTCCTTTCTGCCTCCTTCCTGCTGGCTGGAGAGTGGATGCAATGGCTGGAGCTCCAGTGGCAGTCTTGGACACTGAAGCAATGCTGCGTGCCACGTTCCAGAACGGCTGCAGCCAGATGGCGGGAACCTCTAAACCCTGTGAAACCAGTCCCATGCCCTCCACTGCCTGCCTGGACTTCTCTTTGATGGGGGTGGGTGGAGGAATACACATTGCTCTTTTCAGCCAAATGCACTTCTTCCAGAGACAGAGACAATAACTCACTATTCTATAGACCACTTCCAGGTTAAGAGGGTGTTCACTTCCAGAACAACTCTTTGTTGCCAATAAGAAAGAGATAAGGTTGAGGGGAGAGGAGATATTTCAGGAAACAAAGGAAACATAATATTCTGAAATTATATAACCAGGAATTCATATTCACAATTTGAACTCAAGTTAATGGTGGAAATAACAGCATATACTTTTTCCTTTATTTCTGTTAGTGTTTGTATGTGAATCCCTCCCATTCTATTAATTGTGGTGTTTCTTACTATTTGTGGCCATAATCACATAGCTGGTCTGCATGACTGTTACTTTGTTTGGCATCAGTGTGTGTATTACCATCACTCTTCCTTGGGCATAGGGCAAGGGTGTGTGAGCTCAGCTTGTGTGGTTAAGTGTCTAGTTCCATCTGTACATGATTATTTTCCATATAGCATCTCCATCAAGCATGCAGGCGTGTAGAAGGGGCATTGCGGAAGTAAGATACTACATATGCAGCCAAGCTAATTGCCACTCCCTCTTACCTGATGAGCAGCAATAGGTCTTGTGAAACAGCTTTTAGCTGAACCAGGGCTGCCTCCTTCTGCTGGGGAGCATGGCGACACCAGGGAAGTCTGTGTTACCCAGAACTCCCCACCTCGGTTAATAGTTCACTCTTTACATAACTTATTCCTGACCCCAGTAGTATTTCAAGTGTTCCAGTGACTGCCCTTGTCACTGAGTAACTGGGGGTAAACACAAAACACATCGCCACAGCTCCTCTGAATGCTTCTTTCTTAGGCCTCTGTGCCATACATCATGTTGAGAATCAATTTCCCTTCAGTCAAAAGATTAATGTGTTATGCAGAGTGGACTCTTTAACCCCAAGGAGGGCGGTGAAGTACTAAGGGAGGAGGCTGGGTAAGGCTTTGGGACAATCCTGCTTATCCTGGCCCCAAAGGTTGGCAGAACTGAAGCCATGCCATCGTGTCTGCACAGGTGTGGTGCTCCCCACGTGAACCTACACCAACACACACACCATGCCAGCAGAGAGAGGAAATGCCTCCCATCTCCGCTGGGGGTGCTGCTGACTCTGGCTTATGAACATAATTTTCTAAAATATCTAGATCCTCCAAGGTGAAAGTGCTAAGGCATCTTGTTCAAAGTCAACCTTTGAATGCATGCTGAAACTTAAGCAGGAGGGATGGACATAGTCTCAGTATTGCCTGCCCTGTTTGGCATCGGCATCCACATTTTTGCTGGTCACGTGGGCAGAGATGCCCGTTTTCGAGCCCCAGGGCCCTCGCTTGCACTCCAGCATCTCCATCTTTTCCACAAACTCTAAAACCAGCGACCTTGGGCCCTTTGGACACCAGGGACTTCCCTCTCTGAGATTTGCCTTCAGTCAGGCTCCTGGATTTTCACTGTGTGCATTTACCCATGTTTGGGGAAACATGTTCCAGCAAATGTGATGTTGCAAAGCCAACTCATTGGTGGCAACACCGAGAGCAAGGCTGGCCTTCCTAACAAGCCCCCGAGGTGACAGGGGTTGAGTGGGAGGTGTGGCAAGGGAAGCAGCAGTAAGAATTTCAAGTTCTCTTTTTTCTACAAAAGCCTCCCCTGTAGCTTCTGTGTTCTCTGCTCCCTGTGGGGTTGCTCCAGGCACATAAAGAACAACCTAGTAAACAGTAGATGCTCACAGCTGGCCACGTGGCCCCTATGAATGCCTGGAAGCAACATTATCCATTTTGATTACAAATTTCCAGGTGATAGCTGACAGTCTAGGATACCTACCTGTCAGAGACTCTGCTTATTAGTCTACCTAATCAGCATCATCACTCTTTGGTGTAGATGTGGTTGATGAAGATCCCTATTCCACAGGTGGAGAACACTGAAACCCACAGGTGTGAAGGACCAGCCATGGTCCAGGTAGAAATTTGACCTGGTCATCCTGGTCTCAGCATCTGTGCTGTAAACAACATCCCCTGCCTAGGGCTCCGTGGCCACCTCTGCAGGCCCTTAGAGTTCTGTGGTCGACTGGACTCCTCTGGTTTTGCTGGCCCTGGGTGTCAAAGCCAATGCTGCTGTTGCTACTCCCAGGCCACTGTGCACCAAGAAGTATCCACCCTGAACACAGTGATTTGGTCAGGATTTACAAATCTAATGTGTTTATGGTGATTATTCATCCCTTCAATGCTGCTAGACTTTCTGAGTCTAAAATAGCTTCCTGAGAAGGAGTGTCTTAAGCTACTCAAAGGAAATGATCACACACGTTCTTCTGTTGTTAAGTAGGTCCCTAACGATCAATCGTTATACTAAAGACATGCTTTGATCTTTCCCCCCATAACTGAGGAATAAGGAAATACAAGGGATCACCCCATTACAGCCTGGGTTCCTTTCAGGGCAGTAAACAATGACATTTAGTTTGTCGATCTGAGCATCAGTGGTCAACACATGTTTGTTTCTTGTTTGTACATTTTCTTTTGAAAAACAGCTTGTTTTGCTTCTGCCCTTTTGGTCACACCTCACCTCTGTCTTGGGGGCAATGTGACAAGTGAGTACCTCTGATTTTAGCTACAGTGACCAAAGTCATAGAACTGTGCGTGACAGCCATGCTGACTTAGTCCCTGGCTGACCTTGCAGGTAGCTTCTGAATGCTCTCAGTGACCAAGCTTTATCATGTTCATATTCCCTTGTGTAGCCTATGCCCATTTAAGTGTATCTCAGATGGAAAAAAAAACCAGAAATATTTCCGTGTTTTTAATCAATGTGATCAGCGGCCAAGTTTTACTCTACACAAAGACGTTTTCCAGCCTCACTCCCCCCAGTACCTTTTCTTGGGAATACTAACAGGTGTTTCTTAATGGAAGGAATCTGTGATTAAATAAGGTTCAGAAATGCAAGGTGGAACCTAGCTGGCAGGGTTTCTTTGTGACAGAACTGCCACACCTTTAACCTCACCAGGGATCCTCTGATCCCCTGGGAGGGACACTAGCCTCCCTCAGCACAGAGAACAGATTTACTGAGGGCCACTGCGAAGGACCAGTGGTCATTAAGATTTCATTTTGGAAGTTTTACGCTGGAATGAAGATCATAAAGGCAAATTGCTATGGCTTTTGCTTTCAGCGTTTCATGTCCTCCAGTTAGGGATCTAAGTCAAAAGTAAAATAAAACAAATTATGTGATTTGAACTGATTATGTGATTACATCTGGAAAGTTCCAAGCGTGTAGTGAAAGTGTGAATTAGTCAAGTGCCTGGCACCCACAGAACACACCTCTCAACGAGTCCTTCCACACTGCTCTTTGGCACAGGGTGTTTTTCCCCCACAACCTGAAGTCCCATGCACATGTCAACTAGAAGGGGTTTCTGCAAGCAAGCTGTCAGACCTGGCACCTCATCATGGTGACTGCACACACAGTGACACCTATGTATATTTGGGATGCACATTTACCTGGTGTGGTGAGACATAGTTTGTACCTAACAAAAAGAAAATAATAAACAGCTGAACATTGGAATTCAAAGTTGGTTTGAGCTTGTGATTTAATTCTTCTCCCAGATTTCCTAAAGTACAAATTATAAGTGTATGTGAACGTGATTTGATTTCTTCTGTTACCTCTTTAAACCAAGTTCCCCTTTAGCATGCTCCCATTTCTCCCTTCCTTTGCAATCCGTGGAATCAGATAGAATCTTTAGAAAGGGCACAGAGTAAGAGGGAGAAAAGTGGAAGGAGGGGAGGAAGCTGAGGGGCGGGTCACAGGGCTGTGGTCACCCAGGCATGACATGCCAGGATGCGGTCAGAATATTGCACCAACCAAACACACTTTCACCCACATGCTCTGGATAAAAGGCATGAGGTGACAAATAATTCTTAGAGTTTGATGACCTCCATTGTGGAGCATTTGGTCAAAGATTAAGGGGCACCCAGAGTAAAAACAACATTGTTTCGGAAGAGGCCCCAAGAGCAGGGCGGGGCTGCGAGGGCACCAGGGTGAGGGCAGCAGGGTGAGGGCACCAGGGTGAGGGCACCAGGGTGAGGGCAGCCAGAGAAGACAGGAGTGCAGGAAGAGGACATGTGATTAAACTTTATGGCTTAAGACAATGCTGGCCACTCTGATTTAAAATTCTGTACATTTCCAAGGCTCCCCCTCACAGTGCAATAAAGTAACCCAACTGCAGAGTGGAGCGTATCATTTAGTTATCGACATATCTTCCCACAGATCGCCTGATTGAGAGAATGCTTTTGTTGAATAATGCCTCCTGGTTTCTGATTTCTCCCTGGCTGCATTGTTTCCTTGGGGAGCTTGCTTGCAGGTGACGGGTTTATGGTTTTGTCCAATAGCAAATCCTTGAAAAAGCAGACACCAAGTATTGGAGCTCTGAGCAGGTAAATAGCCAATTGTCTCACTGTTTCCCGTGTTTCTTCCCATAAATCTAAACTGTATGCTAACATTGAAATAGCAACAGTGAAATCAGGCCAAGTGGCAATCTAGAAGTAAAATTACTACAAGGCTGGAGAAGATAAGAAGGGAAATGAGACAAGAATGTCCACTTAGCCCGATGGTGTGTGGAAAGAGGAGAAATTGGGAAAAGAAAGGGAAATCATTCACTGCACACATACACGCTTAGGGTTGGGGCACGAGAACACGCGAAGGTCATCCTGCTACAAAGAAAAGCTGACTGTTAAGTTCTGAGATACTGGGAGACAAATGCCTTCCAAGGAAAAGTAAAAAAAAAAACCTTTTGGGTTTATACAGTCCTAGCCAGCAAAGTTTACGCTCCCAGAAAAATGTGTCTGAAAACAGGACTATAATGTGAAGCATTGTGCAGCCCAGGCTTTCAGACAGACTCAGGGGATGCTGAGCTCTGTCTGCAGCTGAAGGGGGTTTCCTTGCCTCTGGTGGAATTCCTTTCTCTTCTAAATGCCACTATTCTCAAGGACACTTTTCTTTCTCCCTGACCTATTGTTGGAGTAAGCCTTTCCTGTAGGCAATGGATCTTTGGCTACATTGAGCCCTGTGGAGAACAGTCAACAATAAACAAATGGTTATACTTGCAAGCAACATGAAATATACAAGATAGTTGCGGGACAGAGGGTGGGGGATGTGCTTCACATTTTCTCCCCCAGCCCTGTTGATTGCTTGCAAGCTTTCCTCTGCATTCTGAAAACACCAGGAGCTGCTCCTTAAATAGCTCAATGGCCTTCTCTACTTTTAAGTCCACTTCAGCCTGACTTTCTGACTTTGTTCCCACAGGACATCAGCTGTCATCTCTATCCAGCACTTGAATTTTTATCTCTATTCGTTAAGATTATTATTTATCCTCCTAGTTAGTATTTTGGCTATTTCTCTCTGATACCCATGATATGCTCAACTTACAGAATCACTGTCTCACACTTCCTCTTCACACCTTCTCTGCCACAGAACGGAAATTCCACTTTGGTGTGGGGGTCCTAGGACTGAGTCCTAGAAGCAGCAGAGTGTCTCTGAGGGACAGATCTGGGCAGATCCACTCTGGGATGGCGCTTCAGAGATGTTACCTTCTCTATGCACCAATTACAAAAGCGATAAATGACATGCTAGCCAGAGAAAAATCCTTCTTGGAGAGAAAGAACAGGATCTAGATTGAGATT